GCTCCATAGAGATCTCGTGAACTTGGACTTCTAACTTTTTTACTTTATCTTTCCATTATCCTCTCTATTTTTGAAGCCTTGGAATATGTTGTTTCATTTTATATTTATCAACTTCAAACTTCTTTTTTTTAGCAAATTCCAACTTTGAAGGTACTTTATACAACTCCTGATTCTTTGACTAGTAATGATCCTTGAATGTAGAAACAACCTTCTTGCTCCTTTTGGTTTTCCACACCAAGTATCCATAAGTGACTTTATCAGAAAATAGTCAAGCATTCACTCTCCTAGGCTTTTTCCAAGCCTTGATCATGCTATCAATTTTTAAAAATATTTTAGGTTCCCTATATAAATAGTCAAATTGGTTGAGCTTGTGTGTCATAAGAACGCACTGTTCAACTCCATACTATTTCTTCACCATTGGCAGTACATAACTTGTTAACCCCCATAAGTCTAAAAGTGAAACTCCTATCTCATCTCCACATTGATACAATATAGATTCTTGATTCATCTATGGAACTAATCATTTCACCTGACAATTGTGATCTTCTGCAACAATTATCCCATTCTTTTTAGGTCTTTGCTTCAGGCCATTCACTTTCACAAAATTTCTTAACTGGATTTCAATTGCAAAAATAGAGTTTGGAGAAAGCATTTTTTTTATTTGCATTCAAAATAGCTCTTCATCCACAAATACAATAGTGATGTGCAACCCAAAAAGTGTGCTTTATCATTTTATCTGTAAAAATTCAATGATATGATGGTTTTCACTAATATCACCAATGAAGGATTACATCTTCTTTCAATCAGCTCAAATAAATCCACCATCACCTCTATCTCAATATGGCCTAAGACTTTGGGGAAGATCACCATTCCATATATTGCTAGAGCAAACATATTCAATTATTAGTCATCATTAGAATGTTTAACAATGAAATCCCAGAAAAATTCCTATGGAATACCTTTATGCCCTCCTTTTTCTTAGACATGTGAATCTATGAGCTCCTTTTCTATCCATAAAATATGAGCCAATTTTTTACAATACCTTCATTTTTGTTTTTTCACATATACTCTATTTGGATACTAAAGATGCATACCCACCAAAATTGAATACTCTTCTATAGTTGGTACCAAATCAACTTCATTAAAAATGAAACAATGATAAAAGGGGTCCCAAAACTATACCATTACCTTAATGAATGAGTTGTCGACTTTTACCAACAAGAAATGTGTAACATGCCCAAACTTCTAACAAAAAGCTTATTGTTTTAAAAGAACCATGTTATTCTATATGTCCGATAGGTCTTTCAAATCATTTTGTTTAAGGAGTAATCAAACTTTCTTAGGTAAGGTAAAAACATAAACAAGTGGTAAACAATCCCCTTCCTCTCGTTCTCTCTTTTTTGACTCCACCTTCGTATCAATAGGTGACTCACACTTGAAGAACACAAGCAAGGCACAAACTTGACTTATTGTGGGTTCCATGAAAGCTTTTGTTGAAGATTTTTTAAGGCAGGAACAATATGCAATCTGTATGTATGTTCATGAATATGCAAGAAAAGAACACAAATAAAGAAATCAATTAATTATTTCAGTATAAAATAAAGAATAGACACAATATTAATGGAACATAATACAATATACAATAACAACATGACTTAAATTTTAGATTATCTATAAAGGGTAAAAAGGAACATGACTTTACCTACAGGTTAAACTCGTAAGGTTAATTATATATAGCTTAGGTCACTTCTAAAAATGTTCCCAAATTGTTTCTTATATCATTTCCATCATAGATGAATAAGACACCTTAATCCTTGCCCATTATAGATTACAAGCGAAAAAGATTCAATTTGAGTTGAAGTATTTTGCTAACCCATGTGAAGATATGAAATTTCATGAAGGCATAAATACTTTACACCTTCTTATGGGATAAAACTCGGGTGTAGAGTCCATGTTATACACATGCAAATGAATCCCAAATATAAAAAGGAATAAAATGAATAAATAAAATACAAGCAGGAGAAAAAAATCTTGAATTTATTAAGTTAGGCTTGAATAACTAGAAATGATTTATTGGCTTGACTTTTAGTATCCCTAGTGGAGTCGCCAAATTGTCATAATGTATAAATCCATAAACCTACAGCTAGAAATAGATTTTAGGAGTTGTCACCAATCTTTTTTGTTTAGCTGCAATTGGCCACCTAATATAATCTGTCCTATTTAAAGAAGAGTCTCAAGATTGACTTAGGTATCTTTAAATGGTAGATTCTAGTCCATGAAACTCAATTTTAGGTTCAAGGTGCGGTTGCGAGTGAAAAAGGTTACAGCACCCTCATAGCATCCATCCAAATTATGGTATCGATTTGATTTCAAATTATCCAAGCCTTAGTCATATTTATAATTTACTAAAATATTTAATATTGAAAACCAATCTTGAAATTACTTTAATAGTTTGGTAGCAATTTAAGATAATTTTTTCATCTTAAGAGTATTCATGAATACTGGTGTCCAACTCTAAAAAAGCTTTGTCATCGGATTTATTAATATATTGTATTTAAAAAATAATCAGTAAAATTCTCCAATAATTTGGTAAGATTTACTCTGATATAGATCTCCCAATAGTTTGATGAGATTTTACTGTAAAAATTTCTTTTAGAAAATGTATTAAATCTTTCAATAGTTTGGTAAGATTTAATTTTAGGTGCAAATATTCCAATAGTTTGATAGGATCAAAACAAAATATTTTATAAATTTTTTTCTTGTAAAAAGAATTTAATTTATGAAATTCTCTAATAGTTTGGTAGAATTTATAGAAATTTAAATTCACAAAAAATCCTCCAATAGTTTGTTAGGATTCATGAATTTAATTTAGAAATATTTTTTTTATTATTATTTTTATAAACAAATGAATAAAATGAAGGCATTTAAAATAAATAAATAAATAAATAATAGTATAAACTGTTTAATTTAGGGTAAAATAAATAAAATAAATATATAAAAAATAAAAAAATGAAAACAAAAAAAAAGAAAAAAAAAAGGGATTACCTACGAAATGGGTCAGGTCCAGAGACGAGCAAGTGCACAGGTCACACGCGAGTCGAGTGAATAAAGGACTTCACCAAACGATGTTGTATTAGCCTAGTAAAAAAGGCTAAATCCTAGCTTTTTCCTTAATTTGCCAAGGCTCTCTCTCTCTAACTTCTTTTTACTTTGCTTTCTCTCTAAAACAGCCTAGATCCAATTATCGAAAATCGGGTTTAATCATCGATTTTTGGAGAACTTGCTAGATTTTGGCTAGAAACTTCAATCGAAAAATTCAAATGTTCTACCCAAACCCATATTTCCAGATTTTTTACTAGAAAAAACCAAACTTTTCTAAATAAAACCAATAATCAAATCCTCGTGAAACATAATCCCTGAGCAATTTTCACATAAACAAAAACCCAGAACTGCAAAACACTATCAACAAAAAGAAAACTTCCTCATGCCAAAACCCTTTTTTTTTCTCTTTTTTCTGTGTGATTTAGGGTGCCCTTTATAGACATTTTTCATCAAAATTTTAGGGCCTTAATTGAATAAATCAAATCTACCAAATTCGATTAGGACTTTATTAAGAAAAAATCAATCCTGTTAGATTTAATCGCATTTACCACATGATTTGATCTAGGGCTTTGATTATAATCAACATATAATTTTGTTTTCAATTTTTAGCTTCCTGCGAGATTAACCAAAAAACATGATTTCATTTTTTTTAAGGTTTTTATAAAATAAACAAAACAGAAACAATAAAAATAAAAATAAAAAACAAAAACAATTATAGGGTAATAGCCCACATTAAAGTAAGCCAAACAAAATAAAGCCCTTAGTTGGGCTCAAAATCTAAATTGCCCATTAGAGTAGGCCTATCCGAAACTCGAAAAGCCTAATAAATGTTTCAAATGCCTGAGGATCTTGAAAATCGAAAATTTTGTGCAAGCCTAGATGAAAAGTGGTGCCTACAAAGCCTAATACACTTTTTACTTATTGAATCGAATAGTTTATTTCACTTTTTTATCAATCAATAGTTATTTGGTAATTGGAAAGCAATTTGATAGCTCACAATTCAATTGAGAGTTGTCCTTACTAAGGGACAAATTTTAATGTACATTATTGATTAATTTACATACAGTAAGGTATTAGTAGTCTCACAACATCCATTTAAATACAGTATCAATTAATTTTATATTATCTTAAAAGGTTCCTAGCTAAATGATTTTTATTCTTAATTAAATTTCATTAGTTAAGATATCAAAAAAATGTTTAGGTTTCTTCCAATATTAGGACAAAATTTTTAAAACTTTCTCTCTTATCAAAAGTATTAAAAAATCTATTTATATTTTTTAGAGAAGCTTTATTATTAGATTAATTTAATATTTTATGAAAAAAGTTTATTTATTTAGATTTTGATTTTACCGGCATTTACTTTTTACTAAATAATTTATTCAAATATAAAAAACTTTTACTGAAATATTTCCAAAATATTTCAATTCTTTTGCTAAAAATTTTGTTTTAATTAATTTTATCATTGGAATAAGTTTCATTTATTTTCAAAAATTTATAAAATTTACATGATACAAAACAAAAATAATTATAAAAAATTATAAATTTTTTTATTTAATCCACATTTTTAGTTTTTTATATTTTAAATAATTAAAACACGTGCTTCATACAAATTTGAAATATTTATGTAAATAAAAAATAAACAAATCAATAAGAAAATCAATAAATAACAAAAAATACACTAAAATTTTGAAAAAAAAAAAGAAAAAATAAGTTGACAACTTTTAAAATATGAAAAAAATTTATATCCTCAAATATAAATATTAACTTCAAAAGTACCCATCAAATTATTTTTAAGATAAAATTGACGTGATTATATAAATTATAAGTAGAAGATAATTTTAATTATTTGTATAGATATAGGTATATGTAAAATAAGATTTCTTTCCATATATACCATGTAGTAAAAAGTAAGACGCTCGTGGAGCACAAGCAAAAGTTGAAAGTGGTGGGCACGAAATGTAACATGCAAATTGGCCTTGCCTTTTCATCCAAATTATAATAATACTGCTAGTAGTAGTCTTCTCTGACCATTGACAGCATTTCGACTTTCAACACTTTGCTGCCAATCCCACTAAGCCATTAACCATGGATCTCTCTCTCGATTTCAGATACCGATCATCTTTTCTTCCCCCGAAACTCAACTTTCCATCCACTCATCCACCAAAGCTCTCCATTCCCATCATTTCTCCCCTACCATCGCTTCATCTTCAAGGAACTCATCGCCTAACGATCGCAGCAGCTGCCGGGAAGAAGAAGAACAAGATTGAGGGAGTCAGTGAAGAGTTGAACTTGATTGCCTCACAGAATCTTGACTATGGTGCTGCTCGCAGAAGAGTTCGATCTGCTTTCATTGAAGTGCAGCAGCAACTTGATCACATCTTGTTCAAGGTTTGTTTGACTTGGTAATTGTAGCTAAATTGGCAGTTTCATCTATCGAATATTTTAGCCTTTTAAGATGGCAACAGTAACTGATATTTTATGTTTTATTCTTTTTTTCGGAAAAAATATGGAACTGGTGGTAGATGGCTCCTCCTGGTGTAAGAGCAGAAGAGGTATGCGTTTGCTTATTTATGTGAATTGCTCTGTTTGTTCCCCAAAAACTGAAGAAAAGAACGGAAAGTAAGTCAACTTACTAGAATGAGTTCTGGTAAATGAAACGAAGGCATAAAGTTTAGAAACTTTAAATTCTGGGTAAATTACAATATCTCTGTTTTGCCAAATATATGTAAAGAGAGTGGTGAGTAAAATATCGACAAAATTTTTCCAAGGAAAGTTTAAGTTTTAATTATACGGGTCAAGTTTATATTGCAAGTAAAAATGGGGGGGGGGGGGGGGGTTATTTTTTTTTCATAAATTCAGCCTTATAAATGCTAAATCATTTGAAGTTAACTGTGTTGTTTTGAGGTTTTGGTAGTGGATTGAAAGGAATTCAAAGGGATTGGAGATTTTCTTTAGAAGATGGATGCCAGAACCAGGGGTTAAAATCAAGGGTGCTGTATGTTTTTGCCATGGATATGGCGATACTTGCACATTCTTCTTTGAAGGTTAGTTGATCGCATCTCTTCATAGAGTAATTTGAATTGCTCCATGCCTCATGGGCTCACATTGTACTTTGTTCCAGTAGTTGACCCATGTCCAAGGACTTTTATTTGATGCATGGCGAATTTGGGATTACAGGCATTGCTAGGTTCATTGCCGCATCTGGCTATGGTGTTTATGCTATTGATCATCCGGGATTTGGTCTCTCTGAAGGATTGCATGGTTACATCTATAGCTTTGATGAATTAGCTGACAATGTCATTGAACAATATGCAAAAATCAAAGGTGTGAAATTTGTAGCACTGGTATTGCCTTTGTTTCTCAATCAATCTACACATTTATATTAGAGTGGTTAGTTTGAGAAGCTGTTGTGGTTTTGCTTAATATTATTGATCATCAGAAAGACCTGAAGTGAAAGGATTGCCCTGCTTCTTATTGGGACAGTCCATGGGTGGAGCTGTTGCTCTCAAAGTACACTTGAAGGATCCACAAGGATGGGATGGAGTGGTCCTTGTAGCACCAATGTGTAAAGTAAGTCTTTGTTATTCCTCAAATAATTCTTGTGGATCCATAAGATTATTAGAAGGTTGATTTAAAGAGTATGAATGCATGCATCTCTCAATTGGTTCACAAGTTTGCTTCCTAAATGCTAGGTAAATATAGAAGAATGAATCTGCATTTAAATATATGCCGACTTTGATACCTAGTGAAGCATAATCTATAACTTATAAAAGGAAATAACAAATATAGTTGCTAACATGTACCTGTTAAGCATGTAAGCTTAAATTCTTTGGCTTGTATTAAGTTCTTCACCTTGCAAAGTATAGGTTAGTGGTGTTAAATGTTAATATTTGAGAGACAGGGAGAGAAGAAGAAGACAACAGCAAGAAGTCACCTTGTATAGGTTATTTACAGCAATAATCTACAATTTATTTACAGCATATTAATCGTTTTATATATACTAGAACAGCATTGCAGAAGTCACTGAACAAATATTGCAGGTTGATTGTCCTGAATCCCTAGAAATTGAAGTGGAAAGAAAGAAACATGTTGCTACTTCTAGAAAGTGAAACCTTGAAAATGATTTCAGGGGGAATTATATGGCTAATTGTTGCTGGACAGATGTTATTGAGAGCTTTTAGTCCTCAATCTCACTACTTTTATAGAAAGACTGAATTGCAGTGAAAAATGAAGATTGTAGCTCTGCAGTCATTGTTTTCTGGTTATTGTCATATTTATAGATATGAAGGGCAGTTAATTATGTTTTGGCATAGCCAAAACACTTACACATCCATCTATCAGGTTGAGTTGTCAGGCATGTATCAACAGGCTACATCTGTGGGGCACTGGATAGCACTTCTGTCTTGTTAGTCGAAGCTCCCTGTATGTTGAGAGTAATTATACTGTCAAACGTTTGATTTTACTGAATTCTTTCTTGGCTGCCATGGTCTTAGGTCTTAGTAAATATTGAAATGTAACTTTGCCTACCTTTTGTCTGAAGTATGCGCTTTTTTGCAACAAAACTTGACTGAATAGCCTGATAAATGCTCTGACATTAGAAAACTGACAAAGCAAACGATTTTATATCCTGTTAAAAACTCCTATTAATTCAACAAGACTTGGCATTGAATGTAGACACATTGTGCAAATCATTAGTTTTCTTGCTTTTGTTTGTCACTGGGGATCTCTGCTTGCCTGCCATTGCATTTCCATAATATCATCTGCAAAGAATTAGGGTAACCGCATAGCCAGATCTTTGTGTTTGAACTGACATTAATCTTGTCCTATATCTGAATTGTTCAGCTGTTTTATGACTTCTAAAGTTCTCATCCTGTATTTAGAATGTTCTGTTTTGACATTCAATTGATTTTTAAACTTTGTCACTGATAAGATCGCAGAGGATGTGACTCCTTCAGAACCAGTTTTGAAGGTTTTGACCCTTCTGTCTAATGTTGTGCCAACAGCAAAGCTTGTTCCACAGAAAGATCTAGCTAAATTGATGTTCAGAGACCCAAGGAAAAAGAAGATGGTTAGTTAGTTTTCCTACAGTCATCCTGTATAAATTAACTTCTATGATTGAAAAATGATCTGGTGCTAGAATTTGACATATATATTGAAGCAGCTTGTGAGATATTAAGAGGATTTTCTACTTATTTTCCCTCATATAGAATGGGAAACCTAAAAGTTTTTAATCTTAAGTTTACCAGATTAACATTTTTATCATAGCCCCATACCAAATTTTTATCGAAGCAGCTAAGAACATATGGAAATAGATGATGTCATGAAATGATCCATAATTATTATCATAGCCCTAGTTTGGAATGATCTTCACGGGATAGATGAAAATTGACAGTTATATTCATACTGGCATAACTAAAAAGGCCATTAGTCCTTCAATATTCTTTGAGTTAAAGATTACCTACAACTCTGTGGTGCATTATTCTCTTTTTTGATAGCTACAAGACTCCGTGTAGTATCATTATTGTTTTCTTCAAAAATAGAATACAGGATTTGCTCTGATTTTACATCAGGTCTTCTATCACCTTTTGTGATAGCTAGCAGTATCAACCACACTAAATACTTGGAGAATGAACTTTATCAATCTGTGTCTAAAGATAGCTAGTACAGTTCCTTGTTAATCATCAATAAAGAAAATATGAGAAATAAAAGGAATTTTTTCTGTTAGTAGAAAACCAGAAACTACCTTTCATATCTCCTTTTGAAGATGATCTGGAGACAGGATTATCATGATGTTGTATTCTTTCGTATCTTTCAGGCTGTATACAATGTGATTTCTTATGATGATCGAGTGCGATTGAGAACTGCTGTTGAACTCTTAAAGGCCACCAAGGAAATTGAGATGCAAGTGGAAAAGGTCAATTTTGGTTAATTAGTTTTCAATGTCTTTTTAACTCTCATTGTCTACTACATGAGGATGTTATTGCATTGCTATTAGCTGATCTAGGCACAGATAATATTATAACAAAGAAAAGTTGAGCCAATTCCAGAGTATTGCAGGTTTCATCGCCACTGCTGATTCTTCATGGAGCTGCAGACAAGGTAACAGATCCATTAGTGAGCCAGTTTCTTTATGAAAACGCCTCGAGCAAGGACAAAACTCTGAAGCTATATGAAGAAGGCTATCACTGCATTCTGGAAGGGGAACCAGATGACAGAATTTTTAGTGTCCTTGATGATATTATTGCGTGGCTTGATGCTCGGTGCTAGATTTAGCAAAATTATTTACATGCATTGATTCTTTTCCATGCTTCTACATCTCTCCTTAGTGCTACCAAAAAAAGAGGAATTGATATTTAGTAGTAGTCGGGATTGATATTTTTCCATGTAGTTAGAGACCAAAAGGTAAATGTCAATCCAGGAGGCGACTTTTCTGTGTCAACATTCTATAATTAGAGAACATGAAATGAGTACGAACCCCATCGTTCAAAATTTAACTTTATATATTTCATTCCAGCTGTTATGGTGCTCACGTCATATTCTCCCTGGTACATTAATGCTGAAGTTTGCACACCACACTAAAGAATTGTTAAACTGTTAGGTTAAGATCCATTATTAATATAGGTTTTATTTGAATATATCTGCATCACATCTCAAAATCGAAACGTAACATAGTCATATTAACTTAAAGTAAAATTTTAAAATTATACAAAGCTTTTTTTGATAATCATTCTTAAATTCTTTAATAGTTGATGATAAATATCTATATATTTGAATACAAATTAATAAAAATATTAAAATCTCATTGGTCAACATTATCTCTAATGATTAAATAATCTTTCTCATTTTGATCTTCTAGTTTCTCACAAGATTAAGAACATTTATCATTTACTTATATGTAAAAAGAAAGAAAATAGGGAATAAACAAATTACAGTTCAATAAATATAAGTTCACATACCTTACCAGATCAAGTATTATTTTCATATATATATATAGATCATTCCAAAAATATTCATCAAATCATAATGTCAAAACATTTCAAATATCATTATTCTGTTAAATATTTCATGAATTTATAAATCAATATCAAATATATCATTTCATAAATCATTGCAACATATACTGTCATTTAAATATTATAATCAAATCAAATCATGGATCAATCTTTAAAAGTCATCATCATAAATTATCATTATCATTAGTTTATCATTAGTTACAGTCAATGTTATAACCTGTGACATTAGCTGTATCGATAATTTTATTCTCATGATCATTACTAACTATTATAACTCGTTAGCGATAGTTTTACGCTAACTACTATAACCCATTAGCAGGACCATATGATCATGGCTATACTAACTACTATAACCTATTAGCCAAAGTCGTAGAACTAATTCTGATGTCGATGATCTCATTTCTCAGGGATGTAAATACGTAACTATCATAAAATCATTATTTAAACATAATCCAATTTCTCATTTCATTCATAAACATGATCCATCATTTATATAGAGAAACACAAAATAATCATATGCTTGATCTTATTTTCATAAATCGAAAATAAGAAATAAAATATTCATTCATTTTAAGACATATGTATATACATAGATTTGAAAACAAACAAAGTGAGTAAGATTCTACTTCCTTTCGATTCCACCACTTAGTTTTTCCTTCAAAACAATTAATAGCCTATTCAAGATCATTTCAACATATTAGAAATTAATCAACTCATTTTAAGACCATTTATATTAAAAACAATTAAATTATACAAAGGTTAACTCAGTTCACTAATATTGACAGCCTGAGCTCTTTTTATTAAAACAGTCATATCTCAAGATATCTAACTCAAAATTAAGATTTTTTAATGCATTAGAAATTAGACTCGATAAGCTTTCTAAGCATACATGGCCCATCTTGTGTTTCCTTGTAGATTAATTATAATAATTTTTTTCAATCCTCATCATATGTTGCTGTTGAATAGCATGTATACGTTTTAATAAAATTACATATTTATTCATAGGAAACTCCAAATTCCATTCCACTTGTTTTGTTGGAAAATAGACTCAATAAGCTTTCCAAACATATATGTCTTAATCTGTAATTCCTTATATATAAAATTTTTGTAATTCATAATTGATGTTGCTACATGCAGTCTACACATCTTTAGGTAAAAGTTAGATAACTTTTCATAAAAATTTCAGAATTGACTTCCATTTATTTTATTGGAAAGTAGATTCAACAAGCTTTCCAAAAATATATAATACTTATAGTAATAATCTATCCATTAATACAAAATTCCTTTTAGATTCACTATTGTAAATAATTACATCTCATCAAAAAACAAAATTTCTACTTCAATCCTTAGAAACCTAAATCCCCACTTTCAACCTTTAAAATTCCATTCAATAATCATCATTAAATTTTAATAACATAAAGTAAACAAAGCCCAATAATTTACCTAAATAGATCATGAAGATTAATGAATGATTTCATAAATTTTCTTAATATTTCTCTCATAACTTTAACTTCCAATAATACAACCAACATGATTTTTTTTTCTTAAATAAAAATAGGGCATATACTCATCTTTAGGAGTTTAACTAGATTGTAGACTCTGATTTTAAATCTCTAACTTGATTTTTCATGCTCTCTAACCATAAGGAAGATAAGAAAGAAGAACTCTAATTATCTTTTCTATATCACGATAACAAAAAAATGGGTAGGTTTTCTCTCATATAAAACCTTAGCCCTTTTTCTTTTTTGTAAAAAATCTCTAAAATAAACTAATGGGCTTTGGTAATAATCTACCCCTATTATCATTTAGGCTAGAGTATTACATTCTCCCCTTCTTATAAAAAGTTTCATCCTCGAAACTTGATTTACATCCACATCTTATTCCTCTATTTTTTAAATCACTTCTCTTACCTTATGATTATTTCATTAAAACATTTACATAGATAACAATTCCATTTCAAAGCCTATTCTTCCCAATCAACCATTGGAATAAGATAGCACCGATATGTTAAAACTCATATCATCCTTAATTTATAAATACTCATATCCAACTATATAGTTTGGATTAAAAACATATTCTCTCACCACAGATTTGTAACATAGTATGTACAATAAATATTTGAAATGACAAGATTCTTTATATTGAACTTTTTTCATTTTATCAAAAACTTCAAATGTCCTTATATAATGCAAACTTAACCTTCCTTACTTTATAATCCTTGTAACACCTTTAATGATGACACATTTAAGTATAAATAATTAACCACTTGACGATACACATCTTATTTCCAAATTCAAGCATAATTCTTTAACTTACTTTAAACCATTGCTTAATGAACCAAAATTTATCAACCATTTGTTCCACAAATTCAACAAATAAAAGTTTTTCTTTATTGTCTGTATCCAAATAAGTTTGAAATTTAGATCTACTTCCATAAAAAAAAAATCTTAAAATGAATCATTGAATGTTTATCTTATGACTATTTTTATAAAAAAAAATTCTCTTCAAATCATGACATAAGCACTTCTTAAAGAAATTTCAATCAACGACAAAGCTCCAGAACTAGAAGGAACACAAAATATTCATACCCAAAATCCTCTACTCTTTATTCATTAAAGATTCATCACTTTCTCAACTAGCAATAGCTTAAGAATTTGTAAATTTAACCAAATAAATCTTCCATTGAACACTTTAACATTTCCTTTTAATTAAACTCTGAAACAACAAATTAACTTTCATAACATTGTTTTATAATAAGAAAAGCATAATCCACAAAATTTCATGTAATTTGCTTCACATTGGGTATTCATAACCATAACAACCCTAAAGTTGAATAACAATATCAAAAAATCCTTTAATCACCAAAAGGATATCACATAGTACTTTAATTTTCTTTTCTTCTTCACCGACAATATGAAAATTTTCTATCAATTAACTATTAGAATACATATGAAATCAATGCAATAAATCATATCCATACATTTTCACTATGTAAATTCAAACATAAATCTATAGTTATCCAAGTTGTCTCCAATTTTAAATATTGTTCTTTCTAATTTAATAGACCAATTATCTTATAACAATTGATTTTCCACAATCTTCACTAATATTATAATGTCTAAAATTTTCTTTTTACCAAATATGTTGCTATCAACTCCAAGTCAAATTTAAAACCTATGTATGATAACTCATAAATAAAATTCTCTTATAGAATTTAAACAACAAAAACTTCAAATACTTGAATTCGTGCCGAAAGTATAGTTATGAACAATAACTAAATGTATCACATTATTTCAAAAATTTTCTCAAATTTCTCTAAATGCAAGTACATGCTCAGCATAACCTAGTACACAAAATCATCACTAATTATTAAGACTTGATCACAAAATGCACAATCTTTTGCACTTGTAAGAGTTTAAAAAAAATCATTCTTAACCAAAGCATACATATTTTCTATAAATCGATTACTCCTTCAAAATCAACTTCCTTACTAAATCATCTAGATAACCACAACTTTAATTTTTATTTACAAATTTAATTCCTTACTAAGTATATAGCTTTGTACTATAATAGGCAATGTTCTCCATAAATATAAAATTTGAAGGAATCCAATATTATACTTCAATTAGAAGCTATGACCACAAATTAATCACTCTAGCCATTAAAAAAATTAGTACACCCTAAAGAGGAATTTAATGATCAAAATTCAAATTAACTATAAAAACATTCAACTTGTGAGATCAAACCTTAAACACTTTCTTAATAAAAATGTAAAACCAAATCAAGTGAATATCCTTCTTTACTTATATAAAACTATTTACCACAATTATAATATTTTGGACTAAATCCATCAAGACAAATTCTCAAACATTATATCTCATAAATAATTACTTCAAAATTTCAAAATATCATTTCATTCCAACTTCAATATTCTATACTTTTAATTCTAACGGTGTACATTCTATTCCAATCTTAATACATGATTAAGGATTCACTTTACACTCACCAAATAACTTAAAAATCTCATTAAGTCGAAGGTCTTTTCTCAAACCCATAGGATCTCTAATGATCAAATCGTTCTCTTGAATAATATTTTTGCTCATAATTTATCTCATTAGAAGTCGCACCTAAAATCTCTTCAACTTATAAAATCACACTATATCAAACCAAAATAATTACTCCAAAAATCCATTGAATCATATACTTATACTCACTACTATAGTTTATGGATCAAACTTATGTCATTGAAGAATTATCACATTATCCAAAGGTCATCATCTAAGTTCTTAAGAATCTCCACATAGTATGTGAATCATAACCATGCTTGTAGAATAGCTATTTCAACCCAAGGATCATAAGCTACATTTTTAAAAAATCACCGTTAATCTAATTATTATAATTTCATCTTTTTAAAAATCTCTAAAGATCATAATCTAACTTTTTAGAAAATCTTCAAAACCATAATATAAACTCTCAAATATCCTATATAGTTTAAAGAAAATAACTTGAACTCTTAGAAAATCTCCAAGAATAATAATCTAGGCTTTTTTTTTAAAAAAAAATCTCATTATAATCTAAAGATCATAATCTACTCATAAAAATTCTCCAA